TTGCCAGCCTTGTTCAGGCCTGGGCCCAGGATTTGGGGGATTTGCTTGATCAGAGACTCTGAAGCCAAAAAGGCATTGTATTTCTTGGCCAGCTTCTTGACCAGTTTCTTATTCTTGTTGAGTTTCTTCAGCGCCTCAATGTCCATGTGGGGGATATCCACAGCCTTGGCTTCATCACAGTGCTGCTGGTCCCCCAAGACACACATGGAGAACTTGGGGCGGGGAGTGGACTTAAGCCTGATGGTGCCCGAGAAGCGTTTGTCCTTCTGAGGGTCATAGTTCTTCAGGCTGATCTGAAGCTCCACAGTCTCCAAAAACTTCCTGCGCTTCCGCTGGTTCCCGTGCAGGACTTCCCGCACAGCCTTGTAGAGGGTGTTGCGGGAGACTTTGTTGCTCATGGTTCTCTACACCGCAAAACCGGAAAAGAGAGGGTGGCACCCAATTTCCTGTGTTTCTAACCATCTCTCTGGACCACACTTTTGAGTAGACAGTTTCGAGGGGTTATTTTATTTCATGCTCCCACTGGCCATACAGTGGAGGACTTGGCTTTGTTTTACACATGAGGAAACAGCTTTTGCAGCTGATGGAGTCAGATGGCAGAACTGGAACCAGACTGGGGTCTAACTGGCCCTGAATTTATCCACGTGAAGTATAAACTTCATACTGCTTTCCATTTTCTCCTGGGTTTGCAAGAGCAACTGTGGTTCTCAAAGCTGTAAAAGCCACTTAGTAGGGAGAAGCTTAACTGTTGTGAAAGTAAATATTGAGACAAACACAGAATAATAATAATTCTTTTTTTCAATAGAGGGAAAAAGTACTGTCATGGTATCAGTAGTGTTCAGGTAAACCGCATAGTGCATTAACACAAGGACTTCATTGCTGTTATGCAGCTGTTTTAGGGTTATTTAACTTAGACTGATTTATTTAAGAAATCTTTAATCTGCTGTCAGCTTGGTAGCTGAGTCAAAAACCATGTTAACGTTTTTACAAAATGATGGGGCGTGAGGCACTGTGGTTGGAACACATATAGGGCATTGAACATTTCTAGATAAATAGCTCTCTGTGTTCCTGTTTTTTAAACACTAAGAATACATTAGTGAATTATTCCTTGCTATAGGCTGATGTCCACAAATATCAAATAAACTACTACTATGTTTTGAGTCTGTAGGAATGTAAAGTTCATGTTCTTTTAAAATCCTTGTTCATGACTTTAAGTGTAGCAAACTTACTAAAATGTACCATTTTATTTTTTAAAGGCCAAATTCCAGGGTATAAGTTTTATGTGGAAAATTTCATCTCAGGGCAGAATTTTATAGCATAGTCATAAACCTCAAAGAATGGGAATCTGTAATGGACAGAGCTATCACCTCTGACCAGAGTCACCCTAATAGGCACACAAGACACATAAATGTCTCCAAAGGCCTCTGGCTCACGTAGAGCCACAGAGTCTTAACAGATTTTGAGAGTTAGTGTCTCAGTGGAATGCTAATAGTTCCCCCGGGACCCACTGACTTGCTTTGGTTAGTTTCAGGGCCCTTTGTCTGCAGACAGAACCCAGGACGAGTCCCACCCAACTGTGAATGCTTGTAGGTCAGTCGTGCTCAAGGTCTGTGCATTTTCTCTAGGACTGTGTGTGTCACACAGGTCAGTGAACGGAGGGCCTTCACAGAGGGAACCTTGGGGCCAGAGGTGGGGGCTCAGCCCTGGTGGCCGCCACAGCCCCTGTGAAAGGAAGAACAGACAAGAACCACTCATCTGTCATGGTTAGCCACACATCCTGTGGGTGCAGGTGAAGCCGTTGGGGGGTGTGTCGGGGGTGGGCACAGGGAGTAGCGATGCGCATGGTGTCAAGGGAGATGGCGCCGGGAAGTTATTCTGTTACTTGTGTTAACATGTGGTGAGTTTATTTTTAATGAATAAATATTTAACATCTTCGGTTTTAAGCTCAAATATGGTAAATGCTGGTAGCTGTCTTTGGGGTAATGAGTCATGTTTAAGGGTACAGCGGGACCAGGGCCCTGGAGGGCCGCCGGCCTCAGCAGTGCAGGAGGGAGGGCCCGGGAGGGAGCATGCTGGCCAGAGAGCTGGCCCAGGACGGCCTGAGAGCAGGTGTTTGAAGATGGTTCTTTGCCTCTGAGAGAAAGGCGAAGGCTTCTGTGCAGCCCCCATAGCTGAAGACGGTCTCCCCTTGCTTGTACTGAACTTTTTAGTGTGATGTTAGGTCAGAAGAGTCAGATAATACATAAGGTTCTAGGTGCTGTTGTCCTGTTCAGACCAAAAGAAATAAAGATCCAGAGCAAGTAAAAAAACAAGCCATAAAAATCCTAGAAGAAAAATATTTTTAGAGTATTGGAGAGAAGACCTTTCTAATCAATGAGAAGCTTTGAAGTCATAAAGGAGAAAGATATTTGATAACATATTTGATGGCATAAAAATTTATATTATCTATAAATCCACGGAAAAGTTTCAAGAAGTGACAGACCAGGAGAAAGTATTTGTAACACGTGTAGCAGATAAGATGTGTAGCCATAATATTTAAAGACTGCTTACAAATGAGAAAGCTACAAGTAAAGTGAACTTTATGTTCTTATGTTCTATATGTACAAGTAAAGTTCTATATGTACTTTACTTGTACATATGAACTTATGAACATATGTACATATGAACTTACTTGAACATATGAACTAATATGAAGAAAAATACAAATTACCACTAATCATAGAGAAAGATCACAATCACTAGTAACTAGGGAAATAACAAATGACAACAAGATACATGTTTTTGCCCCCCTCCCCAAATTAGTACAAATGGAAAGGGCCCAGCATCTGGGGCCACGAGGCAGGAGATTCCCTTCCCTCTCCCTGACAAGAGCAAGTGTACAGGTCGTGTCAGGGTGTGGAATCTCTGCTTAGGGGTGCTCACAAGTGGGTCACACAAAATGTTTTTGATCTTGGTAGAAAAATGAAATCCAACCAAGTAAAGAGCAGTTGCTTAGAGAATGCAAGGTCCAGTGTTTCGTGTTAGGAACTGGGGAATGAGGTCTTGTTTAAAGACGTTTGTGATGTATTGAGTGGAAAAAAAGAACAATATATTTGTACAGCGATTCCATTCATTGAAAAGAAGAGAGCCCTTATTCAAGAGGTGAAAGACAGATACACACAATGGCTGAATTGTGCCCTGGATGACATGGGCATCACGGTGAGAGCTGCCAGCTTGTGTAGGGGAACTTGTATATTATACACTATTTCCATATATGTTCTTTAAATTTTAAAGGAGTCTTCATTATTTTTTATAATAAAAATATGTTTCAAATGAAACCAATACATATCCCCAAATGTCCATAGAAGTATGACTATGTAATTTGATTGATTTGCTGCAAATGGTCATCTGCATAGCCTTCCATATTCAGAACAAGATGACATGGGCTGACAGCTCCAAGTGAAGCCTTAACGTGTGTAGAGGCATGTAAGGCCCCTCACTGAAGTCATCCAAAAAGTAGTACAGTTTTCTTGAGAAGAGAAAACATTTGTCTATTCCAGGGCACAAGGCAACCTGAAAGGCAAGTTTTGAATACTCTGCTGTTCATTCACAAAATAGAAATAAAAGTCGGTAAAACAAGGCATTTTCTTAGGTTCAGTCTCGGTGCCGCATTGGCTGCCCTTGATTCCATGCTTCCTGTCTGCTTGTCCCTGGAACTGTGGTCCCCTCCTAAGATGCCCACCTTGGTCTTGGCGGCCAGGGTGGGCCTCACCCCTTCCTGCAGGAGCGATCCTCCAGGTGGGCACCTGTGCCGTGGGTGCCCCAGAACCCAGGTTGGGCTCCAGAGTCTGTCCTCAGTCCACCACTTTGCCTGCCACCAGGAACACAAAATGATGGAGGTGGGCTCCTCATTGCTCACGCAGCCTCATCTGTGTCCTCAGGGATGGGGTTTGGGGTCCAGTCACACGGGCACCACTGTGTCCTAGACACAGACAGTTGTGTGCAGGCAGAGTGTTGTAAAGACGTGTTTTCTGCCTCACAAGTGTGTCACGCCCACGGCGTGTGAGGATAGACAAGGTCACGTGGGTGTCTGCAGCCTAGCTGCAGAGTCTCAGCCCTTGCCCTCGGACAGGCAGTGATTTCAGTTTCCCGGAGTTGCTGCCATGATGATTCTGATAGTGCTTTGTAGCTTCTGGGGGCTTCCTCCCCAGGGACGTACAAGTGCAGACAAGCCTCTGCCCACCAGCCATGAGGCCTTGGGTGTCCAGAGCAGAGCAGAGCAGAGCGGACAGCTACCGTAGGGAGCCCAGTCATGGGCCAGGGCTGCGTCCAGCCCACCCGCCTGGGCCCTGCTGCTGCCCCATCCCTCGCCTGGCCTGGCAGGCCCATTTGTCAGTCTCTGTCCCTCAGGTGTGAAGTGGGGGCCAAGGGTGGGGTGGAGGATGGTACCACAGGATGGGACTTGTGGGTTCAGGAAGACCCTCCTTCTAATTCCACAGGATGACGCAGGGCTGGCCCTGGGCTCCGCTTCCCACAGAAGCACTGGCACCCATACCCCCCCACACACTGCTGGTGAATGCACGGGTGGGGAGTGTGTGGTTTAGACAGGCTTCTGTAACAGTGCAGTGGGAACCCAATGGAGACGTGTCCCGTCCTTTCCCTGGGTGGTGCCTCTTCCCTCCAGGGTGCTGTGCGGCCTTGGGGAGATGCTTTGGGAATCATAGTTTCAACCTCTAGGGACAGGGGGGTCTGGCAGGGACCGGGCCCTGAGCCTCTCATGTCCCAGGAGATGGAACCCAGGAGCCGCCTGCCCTGGAAGGTCCCCGAGTGGTGGCTGCCTGTCCCGTGTTACATGAGTCCGTCTCAGGACAGAACCTGTCTAAGCAGCTGGGGCCTTCCTCCCTCACCTGTTAGCCACATGGTGATACCCTCAGGCAGCAGGTCCAGGGAAGTTTCTGTCCCTGGAGGGTCTGGGAGGGGGTGGCCCCATGCCCGGCTGACGGCTCTCCTCTTCGTCACAGCGGAGCTGGAGTTCGCCCAGGTGGTCGTGGTGGTGGTGGTGGTCACAGTGATGGTCGTGGTTGTCTTCTGCCTGCTGAACCACTACAGAGCATCCACCCGGTCTTTCATCCACCGCCCGGGGCAGGACCAGAGGCAGGAGGACAGGCCGCAGCTGGTAAGTGTGGACTGGGGCTGGGTCTCCCTGGGGGTGAGACTGGGGCTGGGAGCACGGGCCCAGGACGGCACTGGGCTCAGCTCATAAATCCACCGCAAGGAATGCCCAGTTCAGGGCGCGATGGTCAGCGATGCATCCTGCATCCCTGCCTGCACTGTGAGCCGGCGGCTCAGCAGGGCAGGGCTGTGAGGGTACCAGCCGCCAGGGCATGAGGGCCGGCGGGTTGTGTGGGCTTCAGGTCTGTTGTCCCCGTTGAGTGGAGCTGAGGTTTCTCCAGTGTCCTGTGTCCCTGGCAGCCAGAGCCTGGGAAAGAGTGGGACTGCTGGGTGCTGCCCCCAGACCCACAGGGACAGTGTGGGTGCCTCCAGACCCACAGGGACAGGGGCCTGCAGGTCAGCCCTGAGGGAGGCTTCTGCCCCGCTTCCCCTCGTCCTCTGCCTCCCCTTCCTGCCACATTTCCTCCCTGAGTCCCCGTGCCAGGCAGGAGCGTCCCAGGGCTTGGATTTTTCTTCGATAAAACCAGGGAGGTGTGACTACCACTCCCAGAGGTTTCACAAACTCATGATGCACATTTACACAGTGACCAGAAACCATTCAGCTCAGGCCAGAGCTCCATTTCATGTCTAGTCAGGACACGGACACAGATGGGATCCTGGAGTGCTGGGGGTCGCTGCCCAGGAACGTGTCCCCCTCCTGGCAGCACTTCTTCCCCCTAATTTACCACCTCTTCCCTTAGGGTTCCTGAGAGGTGCCACCTCCCTTCACGTGGCTCTGGGAGAACAGTGTGACCCGCTCACAGTCAGGGTCCCACCAGGGACGATCTGTGGCTGTCATGGTGCGGGGACGCTGCTGCAGTGACGCTCTAGGCCTGAGCGCACCCTGTCCACCCCACCCCATCCTGCCTAGGGGCCCTTCGGTAGTCCCACTGATGCTGCTAATACATGTGGGTCTCATGACTGCCTCGGGGACGACAGCAGTGGTGAGAGCCTTTGCCTGCAGTTCCCCAAGCTAGGAGTGTCCACAGGGAACTTGCCTCATCAGAGGGTCTTGGTGTGGGCTCTGCCTGCCTTCGTTCCCTAGGTCATTGAGTGGACGTGGGCCTGGTACCCACCAGTCGAAGAAACGTCACAGCGAACCCCAGCATCCCCTCATCAGCAGTGCTGTGGCTATTCTTGGTGGTATTTTCTGTCTTGGGGGAGGCTGGGGGTCTCCAGAGGCCATTTGTGTGTGGGGAGGGGTGCACAGCAGGAGGCTGAGAACTGTAGGAGGGTGTGGGGTGAGGCAGCTTCAAGGTGCCCTTCTGAGTGCCCCAACATCCAGCCAGGCTCCCCACAAGGGGCCTAGAGGGGCCGGGCTCCCTGTGGCCTCGTGTGGTTTGTGCTGCTTTGGAGGTGGCCAGGGTTCGGAGGTGCAGTGTCTGCTGTCTGCATCCCAGAAGCCCCATGCCTGCTGTTGGCAGCTGGTGGGTGTGGTGCGCCCCCTGCCGGCCTCCCCGTGCCTGAGCATCCAGGGTTCTGAGCCAGCGCGTTGCCGGGACTCCTGCACTTCTGTGGGCCTTTTGGCCCATTTGTTCTGGAACCATGTGAGGTCTCCACAACCATACTCTTTACAACCACACTTAGTAAAGAGTGTGTTTATTTTAAAGTGGTGTGAGAAGGGCTGGGCATCTAACTTATCAGCTTCTAGGAAGTTTGGTTTAACACTGTTGGTTAATGTTGTTTTTACATATTTCTTGGGGGAAGAGTTGATAGTCAAGGTGGAACAATGAAGCCCAATAGTCAGGTTTTGTTTTTGAGGAGAGGCTGAACATGTAGATGTTCTGATGTGGTTGAGGAAACTTGACTCCTTTTCTGCACTTATGGACTTTCCCTTTATCCAGAAGGGAAAGGCAAGCTGGGGCCTCGGTAGCTGTGACAGCCCGGGTTCTCACAGAGAGCCCTCTGGGAAAAGGTGGGTTGGCTCAGTGGCCCCTTTGGGCCCAGCTTGCTCAGTTTTGGAGGCTTTGCTTTGTGCAGTCATAGCCCTTTCCTCATGTGGCCCCTTGCTGCCCCCACAACCTGTGGAAGGACATACTTCTTTGCCAAGAGAGGGACAGATGGAGGCTGTTTTGGCAAGGCTAGTGAGCCTGCATCACCACAGTGTCCCTGAAACGCCGTTTCAGGGGCCAGGGCAGTAGGAGGGACCAGCACTAAATTTGGTGGAAGCAGCCATTTCTGGATGAAAATGAAAAAGAGCTATCAATCAATTGGCTGCAGTTAAGTTACAAGAAAAGGAAATGCTTCAGTAGTGGTAGCAGCAGTAAGTGGGTTTGTGATAAAAAGCCATGTGTTCTTTCTGAGGGAGTCTGCTCTTAGTATTTAGAACCTTTTTTTTTTAAAAAAAATTTAGTTATTTTTGGCTGCAACACTGGCTCTTCGTTGCTGTGCAGTGGGCTTTCTCTAGTTGTGGTGCATGGGTTTCTCATTGCAGTGGCTTCTCCTGTTGTGAAACACTGGCTTTAGTTGCTCCAGCTTCAGTGGTTGCAGCTTGTGGGCTCTAGAGGAGCTGAGTAGTTGGGGCACATGGGCTTAGTTGCTTCATGGCATGTGGAATCTTCCTGAACCAGGGATCGAACCCATGTCCCCTGCTTTGGCAGGCAGATTATTATCCACTGCTCCATAAGGGAATCCCTATAGAGCCTGGTTTATGTGAGTCTGGAATTTTCTTATTTGTTCTCTGAGGATGGACTTGATTTTTGGTACCAGCCAAAATCCATTTAGAGTTAAATCTCAAGAGGCAGTTGATCAAGTTACTGATACGATTTTGCTGCAAAGTCAAATGTGACCATTCGTAAGCCTGATGTTGTTTAGGCTACAGGCTAGTGCTGCAGAGAAAGGCCAGGACCCAGGAGGGGATGGTGGACAGAAGCCTGGTCCCTGTTGTTAAGGCTCTTGTGATAAGGCTGTGTTCATGTGTTACTTCTGCTCATCTGCTGGTAAAGTTTGCTTTTACTTAGTCCTTAAAAATTGATGTGGTTTGTTCTGGGGAAGAAAAGTGTTCTCTGAATTATCTTGATTCTGAGTGGCCCCTGTTGGGGTGGCTGACCTGGGCATCTAAGGGAGGTGGCTAGGATGGCTCTGCTCCTCCCCCACCAGCTCCACTGTGGGAAGGCATGTGCCCTGAAAGGAGGCTCACAGTGTTTGGTCCTGAGCTCTCTGGTTCCCAGGTTGCTTCTTCTAGAAGCCTGACTGCTCACCGGCCTTGCCCCCAGCCCAGGAGGCGTCACAGTCCTCCTCTTGGGTTTGATTCTGGGCCTGTAGGCTTCCTCTAGCTGTTGATTGTTCTGGACAATAAAGGAGTCCCTTTGTTTTCCTCCCAGGAGAACTTCCTTCATTGTTTGTCTTTCCCTTAAGGGATATGCTCTACACTGAATCAAGTTGGGAGGGAAGTAGTCTTTTAAGAAGTCTGATGATGGATGCCCAAGGTGGATAAGAGGAAGTGCTGGAGAGGACAGTCACCAGCGCCTAAGCTGTTAGTGTCACCTGGGTGGAAAAGTCAGTACGACTGAGGAATCTGTCTGGGAAAAGGGAAGAGACAAGAGAAAATGGACTTTTGTTGTTGTTCGGTCGCTAAGTTGTGTCCGACTCTTTGCGACCCCATGAATGCCACGTCATGCTCTCTGTCCATCAGTATCTCCCTGAGTTTGCTCAAACTCATGTCCATTGAGTCAGTGATGCCATCCAACCATCTCATCCTCTGTCGTCCTTCTTCTCCTGCCCTCAGTCTTTCCCAGCATCAGGGTCTTTTTCAGTGAGTCAGCTCTTGGCTTCAGATGGCCAAAGTATTGAAGCTTCAGCTTCACCATCAGTCCTTCCAATGAATATTCAGGGTTGATTTGCTTTAGGTTTGACTGGTTTGATCTCCTTGCTGTCCAAGGGCCTCTCAAGAGTCCTCCAGCACCACAGCTCGAAAGCATCAATTCTTCGGCACTCAGCCTTCTTTATCAGATGGTAAAGGTGTTGCTAAATACCCAAACATCAGCTTTAGCTGTGCTTTTCATCCTGGAACAGGGAGTAGAATAAAATTTCAAATATTTGAGGCCATATGATAATGTTCATTCACTGTGAGGAACCCTTGGGTAGAAACTGAAATATCCAGCAGTGATCTTGCTTTATACAAACTGGCTCTGTCACCTCCAGCAAGTCATGTACCCTCCTTGGGCCTCAGTTTCCTTCCATCCAAAATGAGTGAGAATTGGCTTAGATCAGAGACCTTTAGATTGTCTGACCACTTTAACCAAATGTGTAGGAAAGACATGCCACTTAAATTGATACCACTTAGCTCTTCAAGAGGCTGCAACTCACAGTATGGGAAACACTGTACTGGGTGTTTCCAGTGCCCAAATCTGATGATCCCTGTGGTCCTCTGTGTATTGGAAGGAGAGTTTAGCTGAGAGCTACACCAAGAACGTTCGGGGCATAGGGTGGTCTCATGTGGTCGCAGTGCCTATGGCCCCAAGACAGCAAGTGGGCTTTAGCCACAGCTCACAGCACCAGCCAGTGAGCCATGGGCACAGATGGCTCTCTTTCAGTGCTATAAGGATGGTATCCTTTGGGTGCAAAAAGTCTAAGAGATACAGACAAAAAAAGAGTATTAGTACTCTGAGCACTTGTATATCAACATATTGAATAAAATAATAACCCAGATGAAATGGACAGATTCCTAGAAACTCCCTCCTAAGACTGAGTCCTGAAGAGAGAGATAATATGAATTGATCTATAACTAGTAAGGAGATTGAATCAATAATCAAAGACCTCCCAACAAAGAAATTTCCTAGACTAAATGGCTTAGCTGGTGAATTTTACAAAACATTCAAAGAATTGACACCAGTCCTCAGATTCCTCCCCCAAATTGAAAAGGATGGAACACTTTTGAACTCATTTTATAGGCCAGCATTGCCCCAGTACCAAAACCAGACAAAGACACAACAGGAAAAGAAACCAATGGCCAACATCCCAAAT